TATCTATCTATCTATCTATCTATCTATCTATCTATCTATCTATCTATCTATCTATCTATCTATCTATCTATCTATCTATCTATCTATCTATCTATCTATCCATCTATCATCTATCATCTATCTTCTTTCTTCTTTCTTCTTTCTTTCTTTCTTTCTTTCTTTCTTTCTTTCTTTATTTATTTATTTATTTATTTATTTATTTATTTCCATTGTCCTGATATGAAAACTATAAGGCAGCTTAAGAGGTAATTAAAGAAATAAATGTTGATATCGCAAATAGCGTAGTAAGACATAGAATTAAAAATTAAATTCATTGGTTATGTTGAATACCCACTGAATTAAAACATTTAGAACCAATTTGTAAGCACATTGTTTAAAAGGAAAAAGCAGAGCATCCTCCATTAACGTCCACGACCTGCGTAGCTGATTCATTTGCCACAACATTTATCTGTTGAGGCCTTTGCCGAATGGCAGGAGGACAACAGGGAGAGCAGCAACACACACTTTATTGGAAGGGGCTTTTGCCCGTTTGAAGAGATAAGACGAATGGATGTTTAGAAGCCAGAGATAATGGAAGTTCTGCTTCTGTAGTTCAGTTTTGAAAAAAAGAGAACAATTTCCATATTATACTGTTTCCCAGTCTTGTTTATTAGCCCATTTTTCATTTTAACTGTTAGTTATTCTGGAAAACTTGCCTTTCTTAAGAAAATGTAAGATTAGCTTGGCTTCCTTTTCAGTCAGTTTGGCGTCTTCTCCAGTAACGTCTTTCTGCAGCTTCTTTATTACCTTTGGGTAGTTGATACTCTAATTTTATCCTGTTTGTTTATAGTATACTCTGTTTTATGCTTTCTCCTTTTCCCAGTTTGGCTGGCTGGCTTTAGTTCATATAGTTCTACAGGTTTTTGCTTCCCCTTCACTAGAATAACCTTCCCTTCTGTAGTCCTAGATTTGACTTTAGTTCCCTCCAACATCATTACTTGTGTCTCTTATGTCCCCCATTTAATAGTTGGATCTGGATATAATGTTACATCTGATAAGTGGGAGGATTTCTATGACATGTCATATTTTTTCCTGCAACCTATGTCTGAGTTTATGGGTGGTTTGAACAGAGTAATCTGGTGAGAAAGGCCATGTTTGAACTTGCTTACGATTTCAAATGTAGGTTGCAGAGAAAATATGGCATGTCATAGAAATCCTCCCCCTACTGATAAGTATGGACCTCAAGTAGACAATTTGAAGGAGTTACTGTTTGTACTACAATTCCTGGAATCCCACAGCCAATTTATCCAGTTGTAAAATGAAATTTATATTTATCATTTTTAATAGTCATAACATATAATGGACTTGATATTGTGTTGGAAAAAAGTGACCATTAAGATTACAGTTTGCACACTTTCTGGCTCAGCAGCCTTATATGCAAGAGTGCAAAGCTCAAAATGGTTACGCTGACTAGTTGTTACTGCATACTGTTCCCTGGGGCTCCCATAGTTCAGAATTGGTAGCACTGGATGATACAGATATTTTAGGGGAATGTAAAGCTCCCAGTGTTAAGTTACTTATATTTCTGAAGATGCCAGAAACTCCAACATAGTGCTTCCCAAGTTTGGGTCCTCAGTTCTTCTTGGACTAGAACTCCCGGCAGTCCTGGCCATCAGAGCTAGTGGTGAACGTTTCTGGGAGTTTTAGTCCAAGAACATCTAGGGATATGTGAACATCTGGCTTAACCAATGCTTTTGTTTTCAGGTGGATATGCAGTGGGTGCAAGTACTGGCAGAGGGCTGGGCAACACCACTTAGTGGCTTTATGAGAGAGAGAGAATACTTGCAGTGCCTTCACTTTGATTGCCTCCTGGATGGTAAGATGTTTTAAATTTTAAAATGGCAGCATCTAGGAATAGAACGTTAAAGTTTTTGGGACTCCCACTCCCAGAATTCTCGTAGAACAAGGAATGGGAGCTCAAAAAAACCCCAAGGAGGCTTCTGAGGAGTTTGTCCTGCTACCACACTCTTCCTGGGTTGCTTCTACTTTGAAATGCAAGAAAACTGCTCTCTTGTACCGTGAGAGTCTCAAGAGTATCTGGGATGTGCAGAGGTTCATGAGAAGGCTAATTAGGAACACATGTTAGGCTGCATAGAGGGCGCCTGTGAGACTTTGCAAGTCCCAGATGGCCTTGGGACCCCTACAGTGCACTGGGACATTATCCTTTATGTTAGCCTCCTAGTTTTGGAAGAAAGGTGGGGTAGGATACACTTGGGGATTTTTCCATTCATATGGGAACTGCTATGGCTGTAGTTCATGGGATTCTTTCCCCCCTTTTTAGGAGGCGTTATTAACCTTTCAGTGCCTATAGTGCTGACAGCGACAAAGGAAGACAAGGAGAGACTAGATGGCTGCACAGCCTTTGCTCTGTTATATGAAGGCCGCCGTGTAGCTATTCTCCGCAATCCAGAGTTCTATGAGCATCGAAAAGAAGAACGCTGCGCCAGACAGTGGGGAACAACATGCAAGGAGCACCCGTACATCAAGGTATTCCTGTCTGTACCAGGTGATGAGGAAGAAAGAGGCACTGTACTGAGATCCTGTGTGTGGCAATCCCATAGTCATCTAATACTGGACTAGGTAGACCTATGCCCTGATCCAGTACAGTGGGGTCTTGACTTAAGAACGGCTTGAGTTAAGAACATTTTGACTTAAGAACCGCTCTCATAAGAAAATATTGACTTGACTTAAGTACTTAGATTTGAGTTAAGAACTAAAAAAACCACGTGGGAGGCAGGGAAAGTGCAAAATTTGAACTTTCAGTTAACTGTTGACCAGTGAAAAGGGTGCCTGTCTGCTTCCTCGCTCCTCCCAGCGTTTAGAGAGTGGATTGGGAGACAGTCTTCAGACTGCCTGGTACTGCCTGGATTGTATTTTCCCTGCCTTCCCTGAACCTTTCTTGACCTAAGAAAAAAAGAAACAAAATATGCCCCTCTAGTGGTCGAAGGCGGAATAGCAGCTTCCCATTCGTTTCTATGGACGGAAAAGAGCAGATACGGATCAAATGGTTTTCAATGCATTCCTATGGGAAATGCAGATTTGACTTGAGAACTTTTTGACTTGAGAACCGCCTTCCAATACGGATTAAGTTCTCAAGTCAAGACCCCACTGTACAAGCTGTTATGTTCTTAAGATAGCTTTTGCCAAGCTGGTGATATGAGCTGCTATTTTGAAAGTTGTATTTCATCTTTAAGGCTGCTGTGTATAGAAATCTGTGTAACTGTCAGTCCAGATGCCCACGTTTTCTGGGGAATTCCGTTCTGTCGTTACTAGCTGACTGCTTATGTATGCACGCATTCTGTGGTTACTTGGAGTATAGATGTCTGACTGTGTGTATGTATATGTATGTGACAGAAACAGATTTAGGGTAAACTCTTTAAACTGCCAGTGAACATCAGAGAGACGTCTGTCCCTCCTGTGGTTTATAAATGCAGACTTGTGTGCAAGAGACACGGAGAAAGCACACCAATATATGAATTACTTCGCAATGATGACAGGAAAACAGCTGGATTCCCTGCCTCCGGGCTTGGCACAGCCGGATCAAAGTAATGGAGTCCAGCCTTCAGCTCATCTTTAATTTTGGCAAACAGTGTTAATGCTGCATTAGTGTGATCTCCTAACAGTTACTGTGACCCTACTTCAGATCTTAAAATGTGATAGTGGTCAAGCTTTTGCTCCTAACATGGTCGGTTTTCTTATCATAAATGAGAGACAAAGGCTCAGGATGTAGAAAATAGAATCAAGCTTTTTATTCTGTATTCTTTAAATGGGTCGTTAAAAAGCTGTGACTCAAGGCGTTTCGGCGAAGCCTTCTTCAGGAGCTAAGCATAACACAAAAAACCCCTGTTAGATATCAAATCATTATGATTTAAAGAATACAGAATAAAGAAGAATTTGATTCTATTTTCTACATCCTGAGACTTTGTCTCTCATTTATAATCTGTAATTCTGTGGATGTACCAGTTCCTTTTGTTTTGTCCAGTTTTCTTATCAGACAGGCAGCAATGGTTTCCTATATACTGACTAGAGAAAAAGCAGTGTTAGGGAGTTTACTTCACCTATTCCCTTTTGGAAAGGGCACCCACCTTGGGACTGGAGAGCAGAAAAGAGGAACTCTTTGGCTTTTATCATGAACCAAAAGAGCTTGCCTGAGTCTGCTGTACTCCAGACATTTTAGGCGACATCTGCCATCATCACTGACCAGTGGGCATGCTGGTAAGGCTCGTGGCTGCTTTCATCCAAAACAAAACAGTCTACAAAATGAAAACAAATGTGTACATTTATGTATAGGTAAAGGTTCCTCTTGACATTTAGTCCAGTCGTGTCTGACTCTGGGGGGGGTGCTCATTGCCGTTTCCAAGCCATAGAGCCAGCATTTGTCTGAAGACAGTTTCTGTGTCACGTGGCCAGCGTGACTAGACAAGGGATGATGTTACCTTCCCACCGAGGTGGTACCTATTTATCTACTTGCATTTTTACATGCTTTTGAACTGCTAGGTTGGCAGGACAAGCGATGGGATTCAATCTTATCACTACTGCTCTTCTGACCTTACAGCACAGAGGCTTCTGCAGTTTAACCTGCAGCGCCACCATGTCCCTCTAAAATTTATGCATACATGGAAACAATTAAAATGAGCAGTGCTAAAATCCCACTGTAATAGTAATACAAACAAAGAAAAAAATTGTGACAGCTTCAAACCACCAAATGTAAAATATAAATTGAGAGCTAGTATTCAGGGCTAGTATTGTTTGAAAGTGGCTTGGAATATCAGATCTGGGCATCAGATCTTTTGAAGAACATTCGAAAAGAAAGGAGCATTTGAAAAACTCTTGTGTCCTGTAATGGTCAACAAAATAGATTTAATCAACATGTTAAGCACAGCCCCTCTAGCTGGCCCTAGTGCTTGCTAAGATTTATGCAGGTATCGGCTGTCCTTTGAATAACTTAGTTCCATCCATTTGACCTTTAAAAGTGTATCCCTTGGGCCAGAATCCTGGTCAGTTATATAGTTATGGAAGGGCAGTCACACAACCAGTGCTAGTTGTTTTGACAGCTGTCTGTCATGTGCCTTGATACAGATTGCACTAGTTTGTGTGACTGACAACTGGAGAAAAGCAAAAACCACCCGTGTAACTGCTTTTCTGTGTAGATTTTTGTAATAAGATTCTGAGCTAGCTTTTATATTGGATTTGGAAACCATCCAGATCAGGAGTGTTTTTCTCCCTCATCCTCATTATCTCCATCCTGTCTAGATTATGGATGTGATTGCATATTAACGTCCTTTTAATTGAGTTCCCTGTGTGACTTCACTATAATTCCACTGAGGGGTTATGCTAATAGTATGTAGAGAACTAAATGACATGTGAAGCCCTACATCCAGCATTCTTCCTAAGCCTCACTTTGTGCAAGTGAGTGCAAAGGTCCAAATATGAGCTTTTAAACACATTCCATTGAATGTACTTCCATAGTTCCTGTGACCAATAGTGCTGTTTTTGTTTGAAAGTGGGTTCAGCTAAACACATTCAGAAGCTCCAGCTCTGATTGACTTCTGGCTTGGCGGTAGTAGTGGGACATTAGGAGCTGGGCATCTTTACCTTTGCATTGATCAATTAGCCCTTTACAGTCCTTCAGGCATAATGCATAAATAAGGCTACCCAGTTCACATAAAAAACAAACAAGATAGGGATTAAGGTGCTAGAACCTTGAAGATCTGTGGTCTGGGAGTTCCCCAGCACAACCTTCTCATCATACACCTCCAGAAAAACTGTAGGCATCATAACAGTGTGTCAGTCCAGTGCTTCTGGCAATTAGTTGACTGTGATGGCTAACCCAACCAATAATATGGAAGGTCGCTAAAAATCAAGGAGAATGGAGAAGATCCTGCATTCCTGGAATAGAGTGATAAGGCCATTTCTGTACCTAAGTGAAACTGGAACAAATCTTAAACAATCAACATCATCCAAAGCCACTTGGACCCCCAGCGAGAGATGAGATATTAATAACATTATTTCATGATGCTGAGATATCAATATATCACTCATATAACAGTGGCTTTAAAAGCTACTCTTTTAAAAGGTTGATGCGTGGGTGTACACATACAAGGAGAAATAAACTAACCCAGGACTCTTTGGATGTCAGTTCCTTTTTTAAGATGCTCCTTTTTATGAATCCTTAAACAATTAACGGTCTTGGGGTACTGTTTGACGTGCCCCCTTCTGCTCCATTTTTATGGTGCTAAAACAGTATGCTTTCATTCAACCTAGATGGTCATGGAGCAAGGAGAATGGCTTGTGGGTGGTGATCTGCAAGTCCTGGATCGTATTTACTGGAATGATGGCCTTGATCAATACCGCCTTACACCTGCTGAGCTAAAGCAGAAGTTCAAAGACATGAATGCAGGTGAGTTTTGGAATGAAGATGATTGGCATGAAAGAGAGAAGGTCTTCCTCCATTGTTCCAAAGTTTATTATTATTGCTGCTTTCGTGGAAGGGGAGCAGAATGCCAGTGGAGCTTAGTTTTTATTTTGAATGAAGCACATTTTCTATGACTATATATTTTTTCTGATGATGGAAAGTATACAGTGGACCCTTGACTTACAGACGGCTTGACTTACAGACTTTTTGAGTTACAGACTTCTCTGGCCGCAAAATTTAGGTTTGACTTGCAGACTGAGATTTGACTTACAGACCAGAAAAAAAACCAAAATGGAACAAAAACGGCCTGTTATGGGATTAATCCGTTTTCAATGCACTGTAGGTCAATGGAGACTTGACTTACAGACTTTTTGACTTGAGAACCGCCTTCCAATACGGATTAAGTTCTCAAGTCAAGACCCCACTGTATGTACTAGTTTTTGCTGTTGCTGATCAATATTAGAAACAAGCAGACCTAGCTATTCCAAAAGCTGATCAGCGGCACTAGTAAATTCTTGGCTGCCCTTCTTCCCAGCCCACTTGTGGCTGCCTGGGATTATGGTGTGTGGTATTAAAGGCTAGGCAGATACATCTTCCTTAATTGGATCTTCCATTGTCTAGCATCTCTTGGCTCTTCCCCCCCCCCTTTTGTGGATTGTCTTGAATTCCATTAAAAAAACCCCACAAGAAGTGGTTCTATGGGGGCAAAGCACATGAGCCTCATAAGGAATTGCTAGTGATGAAAGGTATTCCAAGTTTTCTGCAAAAACAGCATTGGAAATAGCTTTGCTCGCTTTAAGAGTAGAATGGAGAAACCCACAGCATGTTGGTTTGTTTCCATGTTAGTGTTTTGTGTTAGAAAAATAGCTAACAGACCAAGACACCAATAGTCTGGCAGCTTACTTGTTTGTTCTGTTCTAGTGGAGCAAGCAAGAATAGGCCTCCCTGCCTAACACTAAAAGGTTCCTGGGAGTTAAAAAAAAGAAGATTCCTTTAAAATATCCTGGAGGGTGGAGGTGGGAATAGAGACGGTGGTAAGATGGTCAATTCTCTTAAATATTTATAGATTTGTTATAGTCTGCCTTTTCTCCAGGAAGGCCAAACCAGAGTGCATGACTCTTTTCATCTTGCTTTATCCTTGCAACATCTGATGCCAAGGGAACAGGACTAGTAATTGGAGCACCTAAGTCCTAGTCCAACACCACCTACTACACCATACTATCCCTGGAATTATTCTATAGAAGCTGGAGTTCCCTTGGAAAATTTAGGCACCTAATCATTGAGCAAGAAGCACCTTGACACTTGAAGATCTTGAGTAACTTGCGGCAAAATGAGACAAATGAGACTAGAGCGTCTGCAGTTCTCTGTAGCAGAAATGAGCAGTAGCTAGAAAACAACTGTGGATGTGCACAGAATATAAAGAGGCTTGCAACTTTCTTGAAGCCTGTGGCTGCAATCCACTGTTAGCAGTCCAGTATGAAATGAGATTTCTGTGCATAATTAAGATTGGAATGGGTGTACAGTGGTCAGCTGCAGATGACAGGGATCTGGTTGTAGAACATGCTGTCGTTGCTGGATCTCCCTCACTCAGTTGCAGATATACACATACTTTCAGGCAGGGAATGTCTGAGTCAATTTTGTTAATCCATCCTGCCTGCTTGTTAACAGCAACTGGCAGTGGCTCTCCAAGGATTGAGGCACCGTTACTTCCTAGCCCTCCTGGAGATGCCAAGAATTGTACCATGGTGCCTCTCCTTAGTGAGCAGTTTTTGCTGTGACACTGTCTTTGCAAATGTCACTCCTCTTACTCCCTTGTCCAAATGACTCCTTTTGCAGTAGTGAGTATGGAGTTCTGATTTTTATATTCAGTGCATGTGAACATTTCCATAGTTGAAGAAAATACATTGAATTGCCAGGCAGCTTGCCAATGTAGTTAGTGCTATCTGGTTGCTTTTACTTATAGTCATTCTCAGAGGCAGACCTTTTTAAACATTCCTTTCAAAGCTCTTCTTATACAACTCAGTTTAGCAGATAGTATTAAGACATTCAATGATAAGCAATGAGAGGCAGCAGTACTACATTGTTCAACCATGATTTTGCAGCAATGCAGGTGTCATAGCGTTGCTAAGATGTCATCTTTAGAGAAGACACCAGACAACCAGCCATTGTCCCAATTTAAGAGCACTTATGTAAATTTGTACATTGAGCTTTCAAATGTTGGTATGATTACAGAGACAGTTTGACACTGTTCTATCCACCCTCATCACCCCCCCAGCACTGGGAGTAAAGCCTTTTTACAATTATATGTCACACAATGACTTAACAGGGTGCGTAGGCTATTGTGGGCTCTTTGTCTCTAACTGCTTTTGTCTCAATTCATCTAAAAGATTTGGATGTCTCTTGTTTCTTTCCTTAGATGCTGTCTTTGCATTTCAGTTGCGCAATCCTGTGCACAATGGACATGCTCTGTTGATGCAGGACACACACAAACAACTTCTCAGTCGAGGCTACAGACGTCCAGTTCTGCTTTTGCATCCTCTGGGTGGTTGGACAAAGGATGATGATGTTCCTTTGATGTGGCGAATGAAGCAACATGCAGCAGTGCTGGAGGAAGGAATACTGAATCCAGAAACAACTGTGGTTGCCATATTTCCCTCTCCTATGATGTATGCTGGGCCAACGGAGGTAGGACAAGTGATCATGTAATACATCTCAGAAATACCTTTATCCTTTTGTTTTTGTTTTTAGTTTCAATTAATTTCTTTGATGTTTAGTTATCAAAGTGGTCTCCCTTGGAAACAATGCTTCATGGTGGTTTCATTGGCTTCTATGACCCTTCCATCGTGAATTGCTTCCATAGTTTGGTTTGCGGGCCTTAGAAGAAGGGTCGTAGAGTGTTGAACGTCAGGATCTTCATGTTTACAATTTTAAGAGGATTGTTGCGCCATCTCTTCTCCTCCCCCTCTGTTTTGAGAAAGTTGAGAGTGCTCTTAACGTATTGAATCATGGCCAAAGTGTTTGGATCTCACCCTCCTTCTTCATTCCAGTGTTTTTCTTCTGATCTAGATGGAGTTGAGACAAGTGTGAGCAAACAACTGAAAAGAAAACATGCTTTTGGCAGAGTCCTTTGCTAGGCAAATGGCATCAAAGGATGACATGCAGTACCAGAAAATGGCTCTTTTTCAGTATTTGATGTAGAACTTTTGAGTTGCTTCATGGTGGGATTTAGCTTTTATCACTGCCATTTTTTTTTCTCTTTCTCCCTTCCCACAGATGTTTTTTCATAAAGTTTCTGAGATGATTCAGCTTCTGATTCTCCTTATGTTTGCTTGCTGAAAGTCTGGTAACTTTCAAGTAATTTATCATGTTGGGCATGCAGTTGGGTGGGTAAAATTCACACGGAAGACAATTTGTGGTTGAGATTGACTTCTTTTGATGAGTCTTGTTAGCTGTGACCTGATGCCATGAAAGAATCTCACTTTATGGACTCATTAGCCTCGAGTTAACAAATGGCACAAACAAAAATATAGTGTTGGGAGCTCACTTTAAATTCTCTTCGTAATAGACATCTCACTCTAGCAAGTACAGTGGTGCCTCACACAACGATGTTAATTGGTTCCAAAAAAATCAACGTTGTGTGAAACATCATTCTGTGAAACACCATTTCCCATAGGAATGCATTGAAAACCGGTTAATCCGTTCCAATTGGAACGGATTGCCATCGCTGAGTGAAAATCCCCATAGGAAACATCGCTGTCTGAAACAATGTTTCCTTCATTGGAATGTATTGAAGCCGACTCAATACATTTCAATGGCTTTGCGAAGTCCTTTTTCGCTCCTGTAAAAGTGTCTTACAATGTTTGGAAGCTGTTTTATATGATTGCAATGGTTAGCCCACCTCCTGAAACCTAAGCAAACTGATTTTGGTGTTGTTCTGACACTTCGTTAATTTATGATGATTTTTTG